CCAGGCGGAGCAGCAGTTGCAGCCCTGGCTGTCCCTGGAGCAGTGGGAGCTGCCGCTGGCCCCAGGCACTGTCCTGTGAGGAGCTGCTGAAGGACGCTGAGACTGAGGGGGCTGAGGAGGCGCTGATGCTGAAGGGACCTTGCAAACCTTGAGGTGTGAGGGGCACTGAGGGCTGTGGGGGAGCAGAGGGCCATGGTGGCACGGAGGTGACAGAGGCACGGGCTGAGGGCTGTGCCGGCTCTGAGGGGACACAACGGCTCAGAAGGGACTGAGCGGGGGGAGAGGCCTGGGAGAGGCCCAAGAAACTGAAGAGGGGGCTGGGGCTTTGCCGAGAGGACGGCGGGGCTGAGGGGATGGAGGGGGCCAGGAGGGAGCACACAGAGCTCAGGGACTGCAGCTCTGCCAGGCCTTGCAACCAATTGCAGAGCCTCCACTTTTGCCACCACAGCTGTGCTGAAGAGCTTGAGGAGAGCCAGACACTGAGAGGAGCCAGCAGGGAGAAGCTGAAGGCCTGGAGCAAGAGCAGTGAGCAGGGATGTGCTGGAGCCACGCGAGAGCCTGGGTGAGGCCCCAGGGCTGGTGAGGCCGGGCAGGGCTGAGGGTGGCGTGGGCTTTGGCCGTGGGCGCTGCCCGGCCGGGCAGGAGCGGCCCCTGCCCGTGCTGGGGCTGCTCAGCGCTGCTGCCCCGGCCGGCACAGGGGCTGTCCTTGGGCAAGGCAGCTGTGCCGGCAGGGCCCGGGAGCTGTGCCGGGCTGCCGGGGGCTGCGGGACAGTCCCGCCGCGCCTGCGCTCGCCACACGCTGGCCCGCTCGGCCTGCTTGTTCTTGCCAACCCTCCTGGGGAGGCTCGGAGATTTTCGCTTCCCTGCTGGAAGTGCAGCTGCTGCCAAGGGAAAGGTCCCAGCACTGACTCGCTGTTCCCTTTGCCTCCCAGATGTCCCATCTGCTGTCCCTGTCCAGGAGAGCTGCTCTGCATGGGAGGAAAAGACTGAGGGAGAGGCTTTGAAGATGGGGGGGCTGATTTGTTCTTATGCAGTTGTATGGATATTGAGATTGAGACAGTGTCATTTGTATATTTTCAAATAGTTTTGTTTTATATATCTATGTGTATATATATTTTATGAAATATGTAATAGTTAATCTGTATTTCCATCTGGAGATGGTTATAGATGTATCTGTAGAGGTATTTAATTCTATTTAAACATGTATGAAATGGTATAGTTGTATAATTCTATCGATCAAATTCTTAGTACAGGGTTATTTAGAGGGGGACACTGATAATTTTGTATTTCTATATGGGCTGTAAGCTTGTTGTAATCTGTAATAAATTAAGTTGTTAAACACCTCATTAATCGTTGCCTATAGTGACTTGTAGAGGTTAGCAATAAGTGAAGTTTTTGCTAACTGAATTGGTATTTGTATATTTTTACGTGGCATTGTTGTGCTAATATAATAAATGACTTTTTTTCAACTTAATGGAGATTTTGATAGTTGTGTATTGTCAGTGCAGGTGTAGCAATTTGTAATAAATGACATTTTTCAACTGAAATGGATTCATGTGTATTTGTAGCTCAGCTGTGCGGCTGCAGCAATCTGCAAGCAATGACATTTATCAGCTGAGATGGGTGGTTTGTGATTTGTGCTCTCCAAAGCAATGGGCAGATGGAAATGCCCTGACGCTGGAGGATTTTGGTGATGAAAATCTCCAGCCACGCCCAGCACATGCCCCACTTGCGCTCAGGCTGGGCAAGGAAAGCGCAGATTTGGGCTGGCAGCAGAGCCACACGTTGGCTCAGAACTCGCTGCACAGGCCTGCTGAGAAATCTCTGGGACTCTGCTGCGCGTACAACTCCAAGCAGGAGGCAGCGGGGCAGGAGAAAGCATTCACAATGAAAAAACAAAGAGAAATTGTGTCCAAACAGACGTGAGGATACTCTGGGAGTTTGATCAAATGCTCTAACTCACCACTGCCTGGGCTTATCTTCAGCAAAACTGGTTTGTTCAAAGCTGAACACCTTCCAGGAAAGAGAGATTGCACTTTCCCCTTCACTTGCCTTGCTGTGTGAGTGGAAGATGTCCTTCCCACAGGGAATTTTTGCCCTTCAGCACCTCCCTCACTCCCATGAAATCAAAGATTATGTGCTACCGCGTGGCACCATAAAGGAAAAGAGCCCTGCCCTGGTGACAGTGTGTGCAAAGTCTTCCCTCCTGCTGTCCCCACATGGCACAAACTGAACCATCCCCTTGCTGTCCAAACTGCGCCTGAGGTGAGTGAGGGCTTCAGGAGCTCAGGAGGGTGCAACACCAGCACAGGTGGGAAGGTTTTGCAAAGCTTCCGAAGCATCAGTGAACTTTGGCTTTGCCGCTCTTCCCCTGCAATATTGTCCTACTCATGAACGGGCTTGGAGGACACCGTGCTGCCAGCTCCCGCAAGTTAAGTTTGTTTTCTTCAGGGCTGGAATGGAGGAAAATGCAAATGGTTCTTCTTAGAGTGAAATTTGGGGTTTGGTGCAGCTGGGTGAGGTCTGTTATTTGCTGTGGAAAGTAGAGGAAAAGCTTTAAATTCCCAACAGAAGCTGCCTGCCAGCCCACACAGAGACCTGAATG